ATAAAATTTTATTTAAAAATCTCAATATATAAATATATTTTTAAAATCAATTTTATCACGGTAGAATTAAATTCTCATATCCAAACTAATAATTTAAACTTTTAAAAATTTGATTTGACTTATCCGAATAAAATATTTTAAAAATGATAGAAATTGAAATCAAAGTAATTTAAATACTAAAAATTTCAAATTTCTTGAATTTGTAAAACTCATCATCCAAACACACCATAAGAGTTTAAATCAATCAAACACTTATCACACCGAAAAATAACCATTTTAAAATATTTGTTGTAATAAGGAATTAAATTGGTTGGACATGAAAATACTTAGTATTTGGGAAATATTTTTTTCCCAAACATTAATTAAGCTGTTTTTATATATATAAAGAAGAGTTATTTTCGATTTAAGCTTGTTGTTTGGGAAAGCTACTTAATTACGTTTAAAAAAATTGTTTTACAATATCTAAGACTTTGACCAACACGCTTTTATTTTAACAACTTATTTTTAATATGATATATTGTATTTCTTGATTTAGGCTCAACACTTCACATATAAGCAATCCATCAATTATGAAAGATCAAAAAAGTAAATTGACCAAAAGTCACTCCACCTATCAATTAGAGCGGTGTTTGTGAATTGCCTAATTTCAAACAATTAATAACAAATTTCTTTTATGTTTAATTTTTAACTTCTCTTTATAATTATTTTTATTAACTTTCACACTTTTTTATTATTTTTATTTAATGAATTTAACAATTATCAGTCACCTTCTCTTTATTTTCTTTGTCTCTCGCACTATTATTATTTATGGAGAAAAAAAAGAAACTAGAAAAAATAATTGAATATTGTCCATCAAAAATTCGTATTTTTTTTAAATAATAAAGTAGTAACGTAACCATAAGAATGCTTATAAAGAGTCAACAAATTGAACAAAAGGAAATTTATACTAGTTTGTCTCAATCCTGAAATTATATCCAATTCTCAATTCAACTAAATTTGAAGTTTACTATTTTTATTAAAGATACAAGTACTCTTTTTCCGAATCTATCTCAACCCTAAGTGCTTTTTGAATTATTCCTTCAAGTAATTATCCAAATATTATTTGTATATTAAACATCTTCAAGCTTAAACAATCAAGTATTTTCTTATAGACAAGTTTCTTCTGACTCAATATCCATTAACAAACAGTTATATTTGGGTAAGGTTTTACAAATGTTGTTTCCTCTTACAAACAAAATGTGTGATACAACTAATTAAGAATAAAAGGCTTTACAACAAGAATGAATAATAATATTTTGTACAAAGCATTCTCTAATTCTTTTTTAGCGTCAAATTTCTAATATAATAGCCTTGATGAACATGATCATTACAACGCTTTGAACATTTCTCACAAGCTTGTTTCATTAGTCTTTGTCTTGGGCTCCTTGAGAAGAGAAGTATTTGTTGATGCATTAAATACATTTCACCCAAAAGTCATTTTTTATCTGATTAAGGAGATTACTTATCATCTTTTAGGTATCAAATGAATGAAACAAAATGTGTGTTAGCATTGTGCAATTTAACTAACCCTTTTTGTAATTACAGGGATTCACGTGTCCCATTTCTAATGCAAATGATGTCTTTGTTCCTTTAACAAATTGTGAGTTCCAAGGAATTTTTTAAGGTTCAATTTGTTAAAAAATTATTTAGACACACAACTTCATTGTTAGATATCATAAATGATATAAAATAAATGTTAGTATATTAATTAGACAGTATGTTTTGTCTATTTGAACAACGCCTTACTACAAGTAGGGTCTTATACTTTGTCTGATAGTATTTTTTATAAAAACATTTTCTCTTAGAAAAAATTTCTGTTTGTTATCATTAAAATATGAAAACTTGAATGATTAAAGATTGTCTTTTTACTTAACATTATTCATATATATTTAATTAATAATAGTGCAATAAAATTGATGATAAAATATTAAAAAGAAACATTTAAATAATATTATTAATATAAATAAATAATTATATATATATATATAATTTTTTTTGTAATTTACTATATAAAAATTAATTTTTTTTATCCAAAAAAAATTAATTATCTTAAAATCACCCTTCATTAAATTTATTCAAATAAAAATTAATTTTGATTATAATCTATTATTCATATAAATAATTTTTAAAATAATATAATTTTTATAGCTTTTCTAAACACTCTCTTATTGTGTTTAGGGGTTTAATTCTCTTATACATTCTTATTTGAGTTAATCATCCACATATTATCAGTGTAAAGTTTTTTACATTGGCAACCAATCATATCTTTAAATTATTTTATTTTATTTTTATTTAATTAAATAAGTAAATGACATGACACTATTAAAAAATATAATTGGTTAGCAGTGTAAAAAAATTTTACAATAACAATTTATAGGTGATTAACTCTTCTTATTTTAGTCTCCATATATAACTTTTTATTGAAATTTATTTATTATATATATGGTAGCACACTCTTTAATTTGGTCTTTACAAATATAGTGCGTGCATTCTTAATTTGATTCTTGAAGATATTTTTACTATAAAAACCAAATTAAGAATGTACTACATAAACCAAATTAATAATATAAAGAGACTAGTGGTCATCAAAGACGACTTAATGTCCACAATTGGTAAAGACTAAATTAGTAATATTTGTATAAAGATTAATGTTTGTATTTATTATTATAAAAAAAATAAAAAGCTAATTTGATTAGACACTCCTTTCTTGAATTAGAACAAAAAGTATCTTAAATTAGTTTATCTTAAAAGGAACTTATGATAGCACAAGATTGATTAAATTAAATTAAATTGTTGGTCATTCATAGTAGAAAACTCCAATCCTAGAAGTAATATTTTTAATTATTGAATTTGATAAATAAAAAATTATCATTTTCAATTTTAATTTCTAAATTATATTTTTATCTCTCAACAATTTCCAAATTTTAAATATTTTCCTCCGTTTTAAAACTGATAAATTAGCATTATGGTATAACCAAATGCACAGTTCCTAAGAATGGAACAATTTATTACTCAACGACTTATATACTTGCATTTTTTTCATATGAAAATGTACATAATTATATATAAATTTTAGTGTTCTTACATATTTGGGATCAGAAACTATTTTATTTTCTTAATTTAGAATATGTATACATATTGTTTAAAAAATATATAATTAAATAGTTTCTTTTAGGTGAATGAGAGTAACAAACTGCCCCCAAAATTAATTAATATAGAGTCGTTGAAGAAGAATTGATTTTAAAAAGTAAGAATATATATATATATATATATATATAATATTGATTCTAAACTCTAAATTCTATTCATATATCCATTAAAAGAAATAGAAATCTCAACTTGGTCTTTGTATATCTTGTAAGGGATAGTAGAAGTAACTTCACTCTTTTTAAGTATAGATATCTTTATATTGATATTTGCTTTTAGGAGTGACAATGAATCAAACAATACGAAAATAGTTTAAAATTTGTTTTAATAATTAATTCTTTAAATTTTGTTTATGAATCAAATGAATTGAAATTAAGCTGAAGCTTGAGCTCGATAAATAAATGTGTTAAACTTAATTTGTGAATAATTTAACTTGTTTAGTTCATGAATCATTCGACATATAAATATATAATTTATATAATTATTTTTGTATTTAATTTCAATTTATTAAAATTTGAAAGAATCTTCAAAATTTAGTTATAAGTTAATAATAATAAAAAAATGAACAAAATAGAGTTTCATGATAATAGATTGGATTTTTTTATTATTTTATGCATGATGGATAAATTTTTATTTGTACTGAATTTAATTGTAATTATATTTTTTGCCATATCTTGTTACTTGTAAAGTTAATAGAATAAATTATTTTAAAAAAAAATTAAATAATCATTTTATTTAAAATATATCATTATATTATTGATTATTGGTTAATGAATTTGAACTGTCAAGTTAAACCCAAAGAAATGACAAATGACAAAGAAATTGGGTAGAGGGAGAAAAAATGGGATTGACAACATTTTATAACAATTTTTTTAGATTAATTTAAAACTGACATAAAATTAATATACTTTAATTGAGAAATTTTTATTTTTAAAAATTTAAATTAAGATAAGATACGCTTTAATATAAGATCAACATTAATCACTAATTTCTTTAAAAATTTTGGTTTTTGAGAATTCTAAACATGTTACAACTCATTTATTTACCAGAAAGTATAAATCGATTAAAAAATAATGCAATTGATTGAAACATAGCTACAACTACAATAAAAAACCATTGAAATTTTTTTTTTCTTTTATTTCTCTCAAACTACACAACTAAATTTTTATTTTATTTGTTACCTATTTTTACTCACTTATTTATCTTTTCTTTATTTTTTTCTATTCCATTTCTCATATATACTTCTTCTCTCTCTATCAAACACCCTCTAAATTAATAAGATTTTTAATTAAATTATTATGAATAAAAAAGAAAAAGTGATTTAATTGAGAGATCATATTAAAAAAATTATTTTTTTTTATAAAAAATAATTATTGATAAAATTAATAAATGTTTTGCGACGATAACATATTTAATAATTTTAAAAAATTCAATAATAATAATTATTTAATAAAATGTAAATATATTTATTAAAACAATCATTAGAGTTAGGAGGTGAGATTCCACATATGTATAAGTACTTATGTTTCATTTTCACGTCTGTAGTTATATATATATATATATATATATTTTACATTTTTTACTGATATTTTTTTATTAAAATAAAAAAAATACAAGCTAATCCTCGGTTAAGAAAAAGTGCAAGTGAACTTATTTTTCAGAAACCAAATAATTCGATCCGAGAAACATCCCAATTCAAAACATCTACATGTTTTTTTTGCCCTCCCTCCATACAAACCAACAAATTCAAACAAAGCAGTGTCATATATTATATCTCTTCACATCATTCATGATTAACCAAAGTGAAGGAAGGACTAATAATAAACACTCTCTTTTTCATACTTTCATAACTCCTCTCTCCCTCTCATCACTTTCACTCAAACTCAAACCCCATATTTGTCAATCCTCGTAAGTACTTTTCATCATCGTTTTAGTGTTTCATCTCTCACAATAAGCAATGCCGTTGACCCACTTCTCTATACTTTCTTCTCGTCCTTCTTATACATCTCTCTCATGCTTTTTCTCTTTCCTTATTTTGCTCTTTCCGCGTTATCGAAAAATCTTTGGATTCGTTCTCCCTCCTTTCGCTTTCACTCCATCCATTTCTTTTTCAGTTTTCTAGTTCTGGATGTAGACAACGCAGATTTTGCCTTCAAAAAAGTCACAAAAACCTTAGCTTTTTCGACCAAAGCTGAATGTGATCACACCCCAGTTTGTGTGCAGTTTTTTTGCTTCATCCACGCACTGTTTTTCTTATCTGTAAAGGGATATTCCTCAGAACATGAGAGGGAGATGCACCTAGCCTTTTTTCTAAGCTTTTTTTCCTTTCTCTTTTGGTATATTCTATGACCCCAATTTTTCGTTTCTCTTTTCTTTTTAATATTTTAAGGACTCAGAATATGTCTCAGTTTTCCCTGCAACTGGGTCTTAAATATTGCCGTTGAAAACTATTGAAAACTAGTTTATTAACATTTCAAACAATAAACATAGTTTTCTCGTACAAGAAAGGATAAAAATATCTCGTGTCAAGACCCGTTTTGTTGTTTTTTCTCCCTTGATGACTTAATGAAATTTCTATCTTTTATCATAAAAAAAACGCCCACATGGATTTAGATAATCCTCGTTGTTGCTATTAAACCTCCAGCACCCGCGTTCCCGTGCCATTTTGTTGCTTCTGACTATTTTTTGTTGTCTTATTTGGTTCAGTTGGAGAACATCAATGAGAACAGAGTTGAAGAAGAAAATTTCCAAGGTACGAAGCATAAATGTCTTTGTTGTCTTCTGCTTTTGGCCATACATGTTCTTTATGTCTCTGATCCTTTGTTTTTTTCCTCTCCATTTCGGGTTTTCAGTCTTCGTGGCCAAAATTTGATGTAAGAAAGTGGCTCAATATAAGGAGCAACCATGACAAGTTTCACTCAGATTACTCTCTAGCAGGTAGAATTCGGTTTTCAAACATTAATTTTTCTCCACTTTTGGTTAATTACGATATTCATATAACTAGATTTTTTGTTCTTATTTTTATCACCTTATTTATTACATTTATAAGTTTTTTTTCCGATTTTTTTTTCCACCCGTTCCATTCTGCTCAAATTTGAAGTCCACGATTCACTTTTGGCATTTTGATTTTCTGTTCGTGGGGATGAAAACGTGGGTTTCTCGGGTAATTTGAGAATTGAGGGACAAATTGGGGTGGTCCATGGGTTCGTGTAGTGTGATTAGACCTGATGGAACAAAAGGAAGCGACTTTGATTAAGGGTACGCGAAATTTGTTACCGGGGTACCTGGGTCCCATCTTGGACGTTTCCATTGAATCTGCCACGTGGCTGGCTAATTTTCTGGAAATCAATTTAGCCTAACTTTGAACCTGCAATTGCAAAGGCCCACACGGTTTTAGGTTTCATATATAGGGTCTTTAGTTACTGTTTATTTATTATTTATTAGGCCTGCTTTAGTATTGATTTTGGGTTTTATTTTGAAAGAGGGGTGGCTAATGGACTCCACAAATGCATTGAAACATTCGGTACCAGAGAAGGAGGCGCCATCTCTCACTGACATTGACACGCTCACCCTTAGGTAAACACACCCATCATACCCTATTTGAAGTGTAAATATGATGTTATGTTTTGTGATCTGGCTAAAGCTAAAATTATTGTTCTTTATATTTTACTTTTTGGTAAAATTTTGGTTACATAATTGCTTGTAGGATGTTTGTGGGGACGTGGAATGTGGGAGGGAAGTCCCCGAACGAGGGATTGAACTTGAGGGATTGGTTGATGTTGCCTTCACCAGCTGATATCTATGTCATTGGGTATATTATTTTATTATATAATCTCATTTGATGCGCCTATGCTAGTATATTTATTTCTCACTTCAAGGAAGCGTTTTAAATTTCAACCAGTACAGGCTCTGTACTCATAATTACGGTGTCAGTTTCCACAACTGTAATTCTTTTATTATTGGTTATGGTGACTCTAGTCTCTAGAGGCCAGATCTCACACGCTAGAACACAATAAATTATTTTACTCTTTAAAATAAATCTCTGTTTCTACTTTGTATATACCTTTTACTACTACAACTGGTACAAGGAACCTTGAACACAGCTAGTTAACCCTTGTTTAGGTTGTTATGCATTTGGATATGTTCACTGCTCATTGCTAACGTGCATTTGCATTTTAGCTTTTGGTCCTCATTACTAACGTACATTTGCTCATGGCCTAGCTCACTTCACAATTTTGCCCCTCATAATTCTAGGGACTTGAAATAATGTCCATGAGAAAATCATTTTTACTTTGTGTTTTGATTTTGCGTTTCACATGTGATTTTAGATATAGTGTGTGTTTAAATTATAATTAGAATGTTAAATTTAGTTAAACTTAGCTTTTCAAAATAACTTTCAAATAAAAGTAACACCCTTTCAAAGATTTGATTGTAATTTACACTCAATGAAAAGTAAAAAAAACATTGTCAAACATAATAGGTACCGCATTTGAGACCAGTTAACTGATATCACAAATTTCAAACGTGTAACTAAATATAACTGTAGTTATCACAAACAAAACATGATTTATCCTTCGAGTTTCTAAACACACTACACTATCCATCACACTCCATAAATTTAAGTCTTCCATACAAGGGTAAAAGGATTAAATACTAATTATTTTGTTTGTGTTGCATTGCACCTTAGGTTCCAAGAAATTATACCTCTAAACGCAGGGAACGTGCTTGGGCCAGAGGACAGTGGCCCAGCAGCGAAGTGGCTGACCCTTATTCGTGAATCCTTGAACTCTAACACATGCTCCAGCGGAGAAACTTCTCCTACATCGTCTTTTACTACTACAAGTAAACAAAAACGCTATTATTGCCTAGCAGCAAGTAAACAAATGGTGGGTATCTTCTTGTGCGTGTGGGTACGTGCTGATCTTTACGACCATGTCACCAATTTAAAAGTGTCTTGCGTTGGTAGAGGCATCATGGGCTATCTTGGAAACAAGGTTGGCTAATAGTTAATTTGCTTACATATATTATATATCATATACTTCTTTGACATTTGAGATTAATTTTAGTACTAGAGTGAAGTATGTGAGATTGTGATTGCTTATTACTTTGTTTTGTTGGTTAATTAACAGGGTTCAATATCAATTAGCATGACACTGTACCACACAACGTTCTGCTTCGTTTGTACACACTTGGCCTCCGGAGAGAAAGATGGTGACGAGGTGCGAAGAAATTTGGACGTCTCGGAGATATTAAAGAAAACTAAATTTTCTCATTCATTCAAATCTCTTGGTCAACCACTCCCTCCTGAAAGCATATTGGAACATGAGTATGTTCGCTCTTTCTAATTTGCGAAAGAACCTGATAAATTTCCATCAATTACATGTAGTAACTGAATGGCCCTTGAATTTTTTTGGTATCTCCAGTAAGATTATTTGGCTTGGGGATTTGAATTATCGCCTTGTTGCTGGTTACGATGATACACTTGAGCTACTGAAGAAGAATGATTGGCAGGCACTATTAGAGAAAGATCAGGTAATTATTTAGCTATTTGTTGTGTGTAAATTATTACATGTTCCTGAATCACAACATGATCATAGTCTTGGTCAACCTTTATCACTGATCTATATAACATGCAAGTTAAGCTTTTCAATTTATGAAAAAAACTTAATAACACTTAACTATTTATTATGTAGAGACTAATTAAAAATTATCAAAATTACTTAATAATTTCTCGTATTTGATATTGCCAGATTTTTTAATAAAACTTGATTGTGTCACATGGACATTAACTTTGACCATGGTGGTATGGAACTAAGAGCTAATTTCTTGTTTCTTACATAACATGTCCTTCATGGTGTGTCTCTTTACCCTACAATCATGTTGTATTGATTCCAATTGGCAGTTAAGGATAGAGCGGAGAGCTGGTCGAGTATTCAAAGAATGGAAGGAAGGGAAGATATATTTTGCTCCAACTTACAAATACTTATTTGATTCTGACCAATATGTTGCTCAAACCAACAAGTCCAAGGAAAAACGACGAACTCCGGCTTGGTAAGATTTGATATATTAATATTCCTTTGTAAAAAGCTAAACACTTTTCTTATCCATAATGGAAATGTCATTATATGCATTATTGCCGTCTGTTTTGCATATGCTCTGACGTTAGTGATGCCATCTTGAGATGACTTTTTGGGATTAAGATATCTCTAGTTTAACATAATTTTCAAGCATAATTAAGCATCTTCACTTGGTTGGTACGTAATAGCAATACCATTTGCAATTCTTTATGAAGTAATCGCGGGTGCCTTTGAAAATGATTTGCTTGTGGTGAATTCTATATTCGCAACTGTGCATTGTTTATTGCTGAATTAGTCAACCATTGGTGAGTGATTTAAATAATTATCCTGCAAAACCATTGGCTATGTTTTATGACATAATCCAAAATGGTTAATGATGGGTCTCTGGGAAACACTGTATATTTTATTATGATACATGATAGGACCATCACCTTCAGAGATTAATTATCCAAGTCCTCATCATTTTCAATATAAACCACTTGAAACTTCCACCCAATTTCATCGACCAATCACATAGATCTTCACCCAAATACAACATTTCCTTTTTTTTTTTCCTCTTTTGGAATAAACTGAATTAAACGATGTCAGGTTATCAAACCGACCATATTTTTTTTAATTATCATGCATAGAGGCAAGCAAATTGCTTCTAAATGATATAAAGACTAAAATACACATTCAGTCCCTCGTTTTATTTTTCACTTTTACTTTACTACTCAAATTTAAAAAGCTTTATTTTTATTTCTTAGTAAGAAGTTTTCATTAGACAAAATTTATGTGTTAGTTTATCATACTCAGGCAACTTGATGACACATAACAGATTATGAAAAATGTCATATCAAATACATAATTATTCAGGCCGGTTGATATAAAAAAAATTGATAGAAAAAGTAACCTAGTACCTATTAGGAACAATTTAAAGGCCTAAAATAAATTTTTGACGTTGTTAATTGATGAGAAATAACTGTTAATTAAATTTGTATTTAAATTTTAAACGAAGATGAATGTTTTGATGTTAAAGTAAATTTTTGGTTGTAGGTGTGACCGAATACTGTGGAAAGGTGAAGGCGTGGAGCAGTTATGGTATGTGCGAGGAGAGTCGAAATTCTCAGACCACAGGCCAGTGTATTCACTGTTCTCGGTGGGGGTGACATGCAAGAAGCTAAGCCCCTCAATTAGGTCTTGTCCCTTGTCATCATCATCTTGCTTTGCTAAAGTCCAGGCAGAGGAACAGCTCTTGTTACTCACCAGGGCACAACAAAGACACCACACCTGCACGGTTCTGACTTAGCTGCTGCATCTGCATGTGCATGTGCATGTCAGCATGTGCATGCATAGCATACAATATCATTTTCCAACAAAGTGAAGCGTGTGATGACACGACCACCAAGTTGCCGCAGCTCGCGGTGTGCCCTGACAACATGCTGTGAAGTGAGGGAAATCAGCATTCAACAACGTAGTAGAGGGTAGCCCAGGTTGGGGTTCTGTGTTCCTCACTTTTTTCTTTGGAACATGAAAGAATCCATTCACATGCCAGCGAGCCTTGGCATCTGGCATGCACCCTCGTGACATGTCGTAAATAGAGAGGAGTGAGGTAGTAATGATTAGAGGAAAGTGAAAAAACAAATGCTATCTCTAATCATGCGTCTTGGGGATGATTATGATTTCCATTCTTTTCATATTCGGCTTCGTCGCCGTCGAAAAATGTAAAGTACGTCAAATGTGTCACTTTTCTTATCGTTCTTCGATACAATGTATTATTCAATTTTCTTAAGTAACAAATCTATAGCAGCTTAATGTATAGTACTTTTGTTCATGTCATTGCAACGGGTATCTTTGGTAAAATGTTATTTTACTGTTGGAATGATATGAAAACGACAAGGTCATGTCGTTTCTTGTGTCTGGACAAGGGTGATGATAATTTGATTATCATTGAATATTTCTAGTAATAGGAGATGCAGAGGGGTTAAATGTTAAAATTATTCAATAATACCGTTTAATTTTTGTTGTTGTTTTTTTTATATGAATTTCATAATTAATTTTTTTATAACAAAGAATGATAATAGTTATAATAATAATAATAATAATGATTATCAGAATAATAATGGCAAAAATATGATGATGGTAACTTTCACTACACCAAAATTAGGTTTTTGTGGCAATTAATTTATTCTTTAGCGGCCATATAAATGACCATTATTTTTTTTACCAGCATTTAAATAATGGCTGGTGTATCCAGTGTCGCTAATACTATTACCGGCATTTATATAAAATGCTGGTAAAGACCTACTAAATTGTCGGGAAAACTTATTTTTTTTAGTGGCGATTCTAGTAGCCATTTTAAAGGCTATTAAAAGTTATTTTTTCAATTGTCTCCTTTCCATCCATTTAGTGACTTTTATCTTTTGCTAGTAAAACTTTAAATAATTTATTCCTATAATTTTATTTTCTAAATTCATAACTTATATATTTTTTTTTATCTCTAGTCGATGTGAGATTTGTAAGGTGAGGGTTGTCTTCTATTTATATATTTTTTAATTTATTTTTTTAAAATTATCTTATCTCTTAAGAGATGTGAGATTTATAAGGTGAAAGTTGCTCTCTAATTGTTTTATAGCACTATTGAACTTGGTAATAGTGGGTGATTTGATACTAATTTATTATAGTGAATTAAGAGTCTAACTCAACCCTATAAATCAACTTATAAGGTGATAGTTATTACTCACTTATATATTATTTAATTATTTTATCTCTAATCGATGTGGGACTAGTTTTTTCAATAAATAATTGTCGCTAATAGTAAACTTTAGTGTAATATAAGTACATTTTTAGTGACTATTATATATTATTAGCCATTAATATTTTTATTATATAATTAAATAGTGGCAATTAAATTATTGCCATTAAACAATTGTCGTTAATAACAAATTTTATTGTAGTGTTTATAACAGAAGTAATAATGACATTCATAATAAAAATAATAATAGACATTTATAATATATATATATATATAGCTAGCAATTGTGTTATTGCCCATGATAATAATTATGATTATGACAAAAATATTATTTTCTTTTTTAATAAATAATTTTATGTTTATTAAAAGTTTAATTATTTATATTAATTTTTGTTATTTTTATAGATTTTTTTATAAATTATCTTTATTATAAATGTCAAAAGAAATAATGTAACCGAAAGATTATAAATTAAAAGATGAATATTTTATATATAAAAAAAGATATTATTAAATAATATAAAAACAGTTAAATTTACTTATTATAATAAAGAACAATAATGGTAGAACAAAGAAATTGCATTTAGTAAGCGGAAGGTAAAGAAGAATTCTTCCTTAATACAAGTTTTCCTTTTGAATAATTTTTTAATTAATAAGAAATATAATATGTAATTAGTGATGGATATAGTAACAATTATAACGAGGATAATTAAATTATTATTATTATTATTATTATTATCGTATGCAGACAAAAACAACGTAATGATCTAGCTCAGTTCCGTCTCTCGTGATAATTTTAAATTAACAAACAATTGAATAACTTTATCCTATGTTATTGACTCAACAAATAATAAACTAAAATAGAGTGTAATATCCTATCATGTCATTTTTATCATAATTAACGGTCGAACTCTAAATGATTATTTTATGCATTCAAATAAAATATATCATACTGACAAGTTACACAGGTTAGAATCGACAATTATGAAACATTTAGGAGTTTAGTTCTACATCATATTGAAACTCCTCTCCTATCATGAGTCGAAAATTAATTCGTAAATTTGATCTCTTAAAACGTGATTGATCCGCAAAATTTCAGTTGAGTTCTAAAATACAATTTACAATTTCAATTTTTTCAAAGACAAATATTAGTAATTAATGAGTTATGTTAGTTAGAAGAATTCAAACTCCCTTTATCTTTATCAATTTTTAAGTACCATGCTTGAGAGATTTTCAACTTAAAATTATAATATTTATTCATTGCATGATTTGCATTAGCATGAGCATACACTCAAAAACTATCCCTCCTAAATGCTAATGACAGTATCAATAGGCTTATTAACTCATAAAGTCACAATTGTTACTTTTTTTTTTTTTTTACAGCATTGCTTTGCTACCTAATTTTAGAACACATACTTTGGTAAACATATTTGAAGGAACTTTGGATGAAGCCACATAAGGTCCAAAGAAATGACCAATACGGGCCTGAGTTTTGCTGATGGGCCTACTTTGAACCCAACTACAGGTCTACAGCTGTTCGTTCCCGCAGTTAAAATCGATAATATTTTAAAATGAGATTTTTATTTTTATTTTTGTTAGAAAAAATTGTTAGTAGGCTCATGATATATACACCTCCATTTTTTTACAAGTACACCTCCTTTATTTATTTTTTTTAAAATTATAAAATATTATATTTTTTTAAAATTTTTTAATTTTACACCTTCAACTTTTAATTTGCTACTTTCTTTTTTTCATACACTTTTTGTTCTCTTTCAATTTTCACATATTAACAAAATAGGTAGAGTGAAAGAAAGGTAAGAGGGTACATGTAAAAAAAAAAAAAAAAGGGAAATGTGTGAAAAAAGGTACTAAATAAAATGTTGTAAGTGTAAAATTAAAAAAAAAAAATTTAAATTTTAATTATTTTTTAAAAGGAGGTGTACTTATAGAAAAAATGAGGTGTATATATCATCAACCTTGTTAGTATCACATTCCCCGACACGGTAAATTTTTTTTAATAATTTTTTGAAAATCACAAAAAATGTCTCACCGGTGAGTTTGTAAATTTTAATAATTTTAAATCTTGTAAATAATGATCCAACCTATCACGATTTTTATCGAAAATATTCAATTTGATAAGACACATATACAAATAATACTCAATTTATTAAATCGGCTATAAGGACGAGAATAAGTATATAATTACTTGTTGTTGTTCCCATCTCCGTTTTAAATTTCTAAAAATTTAATTTATTTTTAAAAAAATTTACTTGATATTTATATAATCCTTACTTTATTTTAAATTTATATCAAGTGAAACTTAATTAATATAATTTTATAATTGCTATTCTATGTTAGAATTTTGTTTTTTTTAAATATTTTTTTACAAGAAAAAATATTTAATTAATTTCTAAATAAGTACAAGTATATACATGTCAGATATTGAGAACGAAAATTGTAACACCTCCACTTATTTATGTTTGTTTATTTATTTATTTTTCTATGTGATTTATGTTTGAAATTTTAGATAAAAAATTTGAAATTTCTAAAATATATGAATTTACTTAGAATAATAGATACTAGTTAATATTTGTTCTATTTTTTAATTTTTTTAGAAAATAACATGATAAAAATATTCTTGATTAATTACATATTCTCAACTAACATAATTTTAAAAATATTACGCATTATATTCCATAGTGTAGAATAATCTAGTAGGCCTTGACCTCTCAAATATATTATCTACTTACTATCTAAAACCAAATAAATATTATTAATTTATGAATTATTTAGGGTTAAATTATAATTAAATTATTTAATTAACCTTAATTTTTTTAAGATAGATACCAAAATAATACTCTTTAATCTATGAGAAAAATAAGTAATAATAATTAAATGGATTAAAATTTAATTTTAAAGTTTAATTAAACTTATTGATTAAATAGAAATATGAATGAATTACTATATGTTTTGAATGCAAATAGTTATGCGAGTAAAGTTATAGTAAGAATGATAATGATAATGATAATAATAATAAATAAATAAATAAAATATATTAGAAGGAAATTGAAGGTCATATGTCAACTCACATGTCAACCAGTTCAGTTACCTTGACTATCTAGAGACGAGACTTCCACACCATAGTCGAAAGTGCATGTTGCATTATCACCCTCAACCTCAGCCACTTCAGTAGCATAGACATTTGATACACTCATGTCACAAATCAATCATGCCACTTACTATCAGACATCTCATCTTGATAAAGCCTTGATCTTCTCGTTTCTCTAAGATGACCGAGGTGAACCCTTATACGGTAACTTAACCCTATTAACCACCAAGAGGGTTAAGATACTTGATGTTATTAAGTTTCTAGGGTGTGATATGAGTTACAAGGCCCACCAAATTTAAATATGATCAATATAAATTGTCCCACATAACGAGATAAAAATTATTGTTCATTTATTATTCTTACCGATATTTGAGTCCATCTTCATTTAAGCATCCGAATACTTTTTGTAAGTACCTTGTCCCTTACTCAAAGAGTTCAGTCCAAAGGAGTTTCGAGTTTGACATAGAGATTTACTAATGTGTCATCAAACACGTAGAAAAAAAAATAAGACTAGATTGCAACATATGGATTATATGAATAATATATATAACTATACAAGTTATAAAATTAACGCAATTAATAATAAATTAATGAAGTCGAAACATTTCATGTCTTTATATTTTTTTTAATAAAAGTGTTTAAAAATTACTAATATTTGTTAAATCAACTAGTATTGTGATTAATTCTCAAACCTTAAGATCTTGAGTTCAAGTCTTATATTTATAAGAATGGATAATTTTTAATATCATTTCATGTCTTTATATATATATATATTATTTTAGATAATTTTATTCTTTAATTTTTAAATATATATATATATATATATATATATATCACATTAAATTATCATCTTTATATATATTATAGATAAAAGAAAAATAAAGAAAACACACAGAATGCGTAGATGAATTAAAAAAGGGTGATGTGATTAATATCACGTGCACTTTTCTAGTTTTAAAAAAAGAAGAATAATGATGGTAAAGATAAAACAGATAAGATGGATAACAGTAAAAATGTGTGGCTTTCTCTCATACCCCTAAAATTAGGCCTGGGCAAAAAATTCCAGTCGATCCAAAATCGACCAGATCGATGGTCAAATTGGATGAAGCAAATTGATTCTCAAGTATTTCAAATTTTTTTGGATGCAACTTTCAGGTTCAAACGG